TATTTATTTATTGCATTACCGACAACAAATAACTGTTTTACATGATATAGCTAAATCAAGAAAATCTTGTCGACATGGTGGTGATAATGCATATTTAAGTGTTTTTCCTTCAATAACAAGTGATGCAAGATTTTCTTTACGTAATGAATCACCAAATGTTAGACAATGTTCACGTAATTGTCGTCGAGTGTCCTTTAAAAAAAAATGTTTTTTTTTTTGAAAATTATTTTACAAAGTTCAAAAGAAAAACAGTCTATTTACATCAAGTGTTGCTTCATCAAGTGTTAAATTAAGTAATTGATCTGATAAAAGTTTACATGAATAACCAATATTTATTGCTGTCTCTTTTTTATCTCCAGTTAATACCCAAATCTATGAATTTTAATTTTTGATTCGAATATAGAAATAAACAGTAGTGGCCAAAATTATAGGTCGATTACTTTAAGACGTTGTCTCAGAAGTCCATATGTAAGTTTTGTAGAATCGACTATCCTATTTCTGAATATGGATTTCATCTGTAATACCTGAAGATCGTTATCATGAGACAATACTAGGTGCAAAAAACTTGATACTTTTTCATTAGCCGAAAGTTTTTTATGTCTTCTTAATTCTTCAAAGCATTATACTTTTTCAGAAAGGTGACACTACGGTTTGATTTCTCTCTGTTGTTATATTATTATTCTTTATTTTTATTACGTCCATCCATTACGAGATGAGCCTGTGTCGGAAAATAAAAAAGGCAAATTGTAACATTATTGATAGATAGTCAAAGTCGAAGAATAGTGGATGAAAGATTTTGTTGAGAAAAATTCAAGTGAACTTATAATTTTGGCTAATGAAAAAATTCCAATTTCCTGTATCCGACGTTTCCTCTTGATAGCAATAGTTAGATATTACGGATGAAATACATATTCTGAAATAAGATAGTCGATTGTATAAAATTTATATAGGAACTTCTTAGACAATGTCTTAATAATCGATAATAGAATCCAAAAATTTGTATGTATAGTGTGAACCTATAATTTTGGCTACTACTATATTTTCTTTCGTATTGTACCTTAATACCAGCTTTTAATAACATTGAAAGGCTTTCAGGAACACTCTGTAATTAAAAAAATAAACTTTTCCTTATTATTAAAAATTTTTCTTTTTTACATCTTGTAATTTATCTTCAATTCCAGTAGCGCCTAATAAAATTAAATTTTTTTCAATTCTTTCAGCTACTTCACAAACTAATTCATGTCGATTATTAATTGCAGTTGATGCTCCACGATATTGTACTAACCACTCCTAATAATGAAATTAGAAAAAAAGTTTTTTTTTTTTATTAATTATATTTTTGTTTTTTTATTTACATTATATTCATCATCTGTTAATATTCGATAAGCAAGACATAATGTACGAAGACCATCTTTAGCGAAACTTTCTAAATGTTCCGTTGTTAATGGAACATTAGGATCATCTGATACAAGACGTTCCATAATAACACTATCCTAAAAGAAGAAAATATATTTTTTTTATTTGATTTCTATAATGAAATATTCAGAAAACTTACAGCGCCTTTACAATATAATTTAATTTGATTTTTTGGTGTTCGAACAATAACACTCATGCGTTTACGATCACTTCAAAGAAACGAGATTATTTAAATAAATTTATTCAATATTTTACCTGCTGAATTCTAATACATTTAAAATTTCATATTTTTCTTCTTCACCTCGCTAGAAAAATTAAAGAATAGATTTTTAAAAAGAAAAATAAATTGAAATTTAGTTTATTTACAAAGCTAATAATCACACTATCGGGTGTACGACGAAAAAATACAACGCCCATATCTTTTGTTGCTGTTACTAATGCATATTCATCTAAAATATTAAAAAAATAATTCAAAACTTTTCTTCGTTTTTTTTCTTATGAATTTATTTTACCTGGAGATGATGCTTGATAAACAATATCATTTAATGAATCAGCATGCATTTTATTTTCTGGTACCACTGTATGACATGTTGCAAGAAGAGTAAGATATTCTCGAATTTGGTCACTAGTATTCTAGAAATAGATTAAAATATATAATACAACAGAATGAGTACTAACTTTAAGAAAAAAACAGCAAGTTTAATGTGCTTTGTAATTAAATAAAATCTATGCAATATTCATATGATATATTTATCTATTTTCTAATGATAAGTGCTTTAGTATCAATTGTTATGATTTGAGATGTGCGAGACGAAGCTTTTTTGCTTTCGGTTATGATCTAGGTAAGTATAACCTGGTCCCGATTCCAATCTAGAGAAAACTTTAAGATAATTTGCTTAAAACCATAGAATATTTAACTATGACCATTAGTTTCGGTTAGCAAAACTTTTTTTTCTAGGTCTCTGCAAACCTTCAAATATAGATCCCGCACATCTCTAATCACGATTTATAAATAAGAACTTGTTAAGCCAAATATATCAGGAAAATTTCATATGACTTTAAAAATTTGTTGAAGTCTTAACTTCGATGGTACAAACAGTTTGTAAAATATTTCAAGATCATATCATACTAATTCAAAGAATTCGATCAATGATTAAATACTTACATTTTAACTATGAATTATTTAAGCTTGAACTTACATGTTGTTCTAAATTTTTTAGTAATTCATAACTACTAAATTCTGCAACATTTCCAGATCTATAAAAAAAAATGTTTCCATATAAAATTATGACTGACGAAATCATATTTTGGTAACAGTCTAGAATATCTCCGATTTTTCGTCCTTGAAAAATGTTCTTCCGAGTAAATATCCCTGAGAAATGGTCCTTAGTAGTGTGATCCTCCATAAAAAAACGATGTGGATAAACTTCGTTCGCATCCAGACCTCATACCAATTACTCTTTTTCGTTTTTATTCCATTCATTCCATATAGAAACAAATCTTCTACATGAAAAACTTAAATATCTATCAAATTATGTTCGAATTACAGCAGCGTCTACGCTTCAACAACATTGCATTAAAAAAAACAATAATTCAGGATCGAGGACATTTTTACACAAGGGACCATTTCTCAATAATATTTACTCTCAAGGACGAAATAGCGGGAACATTTTTGACAGGACATTCTAGCATGTGTTTTATATTCTCCTTACCCATACATAATACCACCGATAGTACATTGTTTAAAAACCATAACATTTTTTGTTAATGTACCAGTTTTATCCGAAAAAATATATTTCACTTGTCCAAGTTCTTCGTTTAAATTCGACGTCCTTGCACTTGCTGGTGTATCAGTTTCTCTATCATACATATCGATATCCTATATGACACAAAATGAAAATGTCTATAAAAAAAAAGAAAACAAAGAAACTTCTGTTTATTTTCATTATACCCAATTAATAAAATAGGCTTGAATAAATTTAACAAGATCAACTGTAATTTGTAATGAAATAGGAATTAAATTATTAAATAAAATAAAGAATGTTAAGAATGTATAACCGAAATGATTCGGTACTGCACCTAAAATAAATTCAAAAAAAGTTTATATAAACTATATATTTCAACTATTTACTAGCTGTTTTATCTGAAGCAGATTGTGTTAATCCAAGATACCAATGTGCTATTTTATTTTGATAATTCCAGATTTCTCCAGCTATTGTACTGAATGTGCATATGATAATCAAAAGTCCAAGTAAAAATAAAATCTAGAAATCAAAAAAATTCAAAAAAAAGAAAAGAAATCTTTTTCTTTTTTAAATATTTACTTGACTATTAGTCACTTGTTCAACATTAGTACGTTTAAAAGGCACAGAAGATGAATTCTAAAAATTAAAATCATTCAAAAGAAAATTTTTTTTTGTTTTTTTTCTTTATATAAAACTAACCATCATTAATTTCGTTTCATGTCCACTATAAATAACAATTCCATAAATCCATGCTGTATTTCTTAATTGTGAACCACGTAAAAGTGTTTGATCAGCTCCTAATGGAATTGGAAAGGCAACATTATTAAGTTTTAATGTTCCAGCAAATTCATATAAATTTCGATTAGGTAGTTCACATTCAATAACACCATGTAAATCTCTTAATTGTACACTTGATATCATATGAGCTGTTTGTGGTAAACCCTAAATTGGACGGTTTGTTTTTGTAATTTTTCGGAAGACAAAGAGAAAAAACAAAATCAAACCTGTCGAACTTTGAGATTTGTTTCACCATCAAGATTAGATGTTTGAATATAACATATTGAATTTGGTTCACTAGATAAGTAAAACAAAAAAACATTAATTTCTTAAAATATAAGTGTATTGATACAAACCCAGATGAAAGTAAAACAAGATCTGCCGGAAAAAATTCTTTATCAATTACTTTCACAATATCGCCAACTTTAACCTTTTGCCAAGTTGTATATAACCAATTTCCATGTCGATAAACTACATGATATTATTTAATAAATTCTAAAAGTTAAACTTGTTTTTTTTT